CTGCCACATGGGAGTCCTGCACCTTAGCTGCCATGACACCCGTTGGCCCCAATTACTGTTTTTAACACATCCACGTTCTCTGTTATCCTGGTACTCAAAACTAAGTCTATCATCAACAAACATAAAATGATCTCTATTCCATTTCAAAAGACTTTCATTAAACAAACATGCAAATCTCAATGACTGAAATCAGCAATGTAAAAATGTTCTTATGTCATGCAATTTCGATTATTTGTGCCACCTGAAGAAAAAGTACCCACCTAAATTGGTGTCTGCCCGCACTACAAGCTGTGTCTTCTGGTTTGCTGTAGGTTTTAAATGCAGAGTACCTATACCCTTCTCTTTAAATTCATTGTCTTTCTTGTAAAATAGTTTACACCTATGGAGAAAAATAATAGGTATTCGATGACAGATCAAGTGACAGTTTTCTAGCAACCACTATTAACACTTGGGTGGAAAAATTGTTATTAACAGAGTAGAGGAGGCAGCAGGATAAATTTTTTATTAATCTAGGATTGTCTGGGTTTGGATAAATATCAAATTAAAAATTTTGGTTAGGTATTCTATAGAATCCTTCCCATTTGTTCAAGCAGTAAGCCCTATAAACTTTTCTTTAAAAAAAAATTATCATCACCATCACTGGGGGAGTGTGAGAAAGCACCCTCATGGGGCATGGCCACACTGCAATCTCTTCCCCGCCATCTCTCCCTTCTTTTGAGATTTTGGGTACGTGCACACACGTACCGTGCATTTTCCAAGCTGCAGGGTCTAGACCCAAACCATGTAGTTGGTCATGTGGGATCCAGTCATCCCAACCACCATGGCAGAGGCTGGCCCCCTACTTAACTTCTGAAAAGTATTTGTCTTTATTCATGGCAGAACACATGTATGTGAGAGAGAGGAGCTCCATTCCCACGAGGCCTGGCCACTCTGACCTCCTTCCTCCAGGCCTCCTGCCCATCCGGTCTGGGGCACGTGCATGGTGCCAGCGTGTTGCGGGCTGCCTGGGCCAGTCTGGAATCCAGCTGCCACGTTAGATCCGGCTTTTCTTGGGCAGAGCATTTCCACAACACTCAGGTAACACTTTTTGAATCAATCTTTTCTCAAGTCAGTCAAAATCAAAACTTGAACACCACATACCTCCCAATCTGCTCTTTTGGCCCTGAACTCAAGAGAATTGATCTGGCCCTTTAAAAATAGGTACAAATACAGAATACCCTTCCTGCACCTCTGCCACCTCACTTTCCATTTTATTTTTTAAGAGATGTTTTTGCTATAGGGCATATGTGCTCGCTGGAGAGACAGAAAGCAAGAAATCACTCCCTGGGGGGGATGGCCACACTGCAATCCCTTCTCTTCTTGGCATTTTGGGCACACATGCACATGTGCCTGGCATGAGTTTTAAGCCACCAAGTCTGGGACTCGAACTGTGGTTGACTGAATGGGAGTCTAGCCACATAACCATTGCCATCTGCTGGTCCCTTTATTTTATATTTAAAAAATTTCCCCCAGGGCTCAATTTTCAATCTCCCAAGATATTGACTATACTTACTTTTTGGAGTAAAAAGCATCTTCTTCTTTTACTTCAGTAACTACTACTTTGGGTGGCTCATCATTCTCCTCTTCATCTCCACCTTTTATGAAAAAGATACTAGTCAATGAGATTCCAATCCAGAGTTTAAAAAATGATGAAAATTTATTATCTACCACCCTAACCTCAACCTGGAACATTCCGTGTAGGCTAATATGAAGGCTAAAAATTCTGAACAGCCTGACTTAGAAGTCCTTAGGTCTTGATTTTTGAAAAAAAAAAAAAAATCTCACGAAACAATTCTACACTGGCCCCATACAGCACCTTCTTACAATTTATATCTTGTGACTTAAATCGCTTAACCATCAATTATTTTTCTTAGAGTTGCTTTTAAATTTATCTAAAACCTAATTTTTAAAAGAATTATTTAACTTTTAAAATTTATTTATATTTTAAAATTTTGACCAGAGAAGGACAGAGTGAGAGACAGAGAGGGAAAGTGAGAAAGCAAGCCGCCAGGTCCAGCACTTGAACTGTGGTCGGCCATGTGGGATTTCAGTGGCCTTAACCACCACTTCACCTGCTGGCCGCCTACAACATAACTTTTTGTGGGTAGAATGGGGAGGTGTCTGCTAGTTTTAAATTATTTTGCGAAAATTAGTAATTTTTAATGGGAAAATATTTATCGATTATAAATGAACTTCTAATTAATTGAAAGCCCTAGAGAGAAAAAAATGACCATGACTATGACATTTACAGAAAAACAATCAGTCAACACTCATTTACATTCAGATTACCTGCTGGGAAACTCACATCTAAGATGGGCTTGTGCAGCCCTCCCTGGAAGTGCTCCTCGGATGTCTGTGCCATGCCAGGAAACTGGGCTCAGCAATGGCCGACGACGGGAAAGACATTTTCACAGGACAAGCCGTACATGTAAGTGACTTAGGCTTTGTCGGGACTGACACAGGGCTCACTGTTCTGGTACCACAGGCGTTCCCACTGAGCCAGAAGAGCACTTTTATCCACTGCAGTGCCCAGCCATAGGGGACACACTAAGAGGCACAGTAAAAATCGACTCTATGGGACCAGCAGGTGGCGTGGTGGTTAAAGTGCTGAACACTCACTCCCACATGGCTGACCACGGTTTGAGTCCTGGACCTGGTGGCTTGCTTCCTCACTTTCCCCCTCTCTCTCTGCATCTTTCTCTGGTCAAATTAAAATAAATAAAATTAAATAAATAATTCTTTTTAAAAAAAAAAGACTCTAAGAAAAATAATCCTGATTCTTAAATGATTTACATCACAAGATGTAAACCCTAAAGGTGCATGCGGGCCAGTGCAGAGTTGCTTCACAAGCATTTTTTTTTTTTTTACAAATGCCCTAGACATCGGTTATCTTTTTGGGGGCAAGATTTTTGCTATAGGGCGCCTGCGCTCGCTGGAGACAGAAAGCAAGAAATCACCTTCCTGGGGTCTGGCCACGCTTCAATCCCTTCCCCATTCTCCTACTGGGATCGTGGTCACACATACACATGGCATGAGTTTTAAGCTGCTAGGTCTGGGACTCACACATGGTCACCTATGTGGGAGTCGGTGACATAACCATTACCCACCTCTGGCACTGACATTTGCGGTCATAGCACACTCCCGAGTCTCTCTGATGCACAGAGTGTATAATCGTGAGATAAGTGATAGTTGCTTTTTGGGGGGCACCTGCTTTGTAGGAACTCACTTAAACTTCAACATCAGTGTCCCTGCAGCTACCTACGGATATGGATATTCTCCATTTACCTTATTTATTATAATTTAGGGGGCAGAAAATGAAAATAAGTCTACCTTTCAAGGGTCCTGGCCTGAAGATATACTTGAAGGTAGGGCAAGATAGAAAAGGAACAGAAGTCTAACTCCAAGTAGGACAGTGTAGTGTTTCAGTGGCAAGTTGGCAACTGTAGTTTTTCTCAAGGATCAGTATGTTAGTGTCTCTTGAGAAGTTTACTTTTAACTGTCAGAAGTATCTTCACAGACATTGTTCATACCCACAAAGTGATGAAAAAGTATTATGACGTAACCCCACTTTTAATGAAACTATGAACAGAGGGAGTGAAGGAGCCATGATTAAGGCCCAAGTGTTCTGAGCTGCTCTGGGATACTGACGCTGTGTACAGCAGAAATGTCACCTAAGATACCACTACTGGGCCAGCCAGTGGCCTGGTGGTTAAGGCAGCTGGATCCCAAATGACTGACTGCATGGTTTGAGTCCTGGTCCAGACCCAGCAGCTTGGACACACCAGGCATGTACACATGGTGGGTGATTTCTGTCTCTAGAGTGTACACGCCCTAAAAAAACAAAAAACAAACAACCACCCACCACTGCTCTTCAGAAAGGTGGCCATAAGCAGGCTAGGAATGAGAAAAACCCTATTTAATTGTTTCCTATGGCTATAAAAAAATCTATCTTTTTAATTTATAGCTAAGCAAAGATTTTGTTTACTGTTTTGCCATGTGATTTTATCTACAGTTTAAAATTTCTAAATACAAACCAATTTAGTGGATATTCATGGTGGACTTTTACAATAAAGCATGATTTTAAAAAAATGCATTTTTTTTTTTTTTTGGTCAGAGGGTGTGTGCACTTGCTAGAGAGACTGAGGCAAAGAGATAAAGCACCCCCAGGGAGATGGTCATGGTACACTTCCTTCTCGTCCCCTCTTCAGGATTCTGGGCACATGCTAGCATGTTTTTCATCAGGTCCAGGACTGCAGCTATGTGGGAGCCAATGCCTTAATCACATGCTACCTGCTAGCCATTAACTCACTTCTTACATGCAAGGCCATGTGTTGATTTCTTCCAGAGTCACTGCACCAGATGTTTCTGTATTTTTGTTTTTAAGTTTTTGCCATAGGGGACATGAGCCTGCCTGAGGCAGACAGACAGTGAGAGGGAAAATGGGAAAAAATGAGAAATCACCCTCCGGGAAGGATGGCAGTGCCACAATCCCTTCTCTTCCATTCTCCTCCTGGGATTTTGGGCACACACGAATACATGCCGGGTATGATTTTCAAGCTGCCAGGTGTGGGACTCAGACCAGTGGGAATCCACCCCTTAATCACCATGCCACCTGTTGGCCCCTATTTTCATATTCTTAATCATTATAAATTGATAAGCAGCCAGAATTCAAAAAAGTTAATCAACCTTGTCCAGGCTCTTACACTGAAGAAATGATGAAATCACAATGTAAATTTAGATCCACCAAAATCAAGTCTATGCTTTTTCCAGTAAACAAAAAAATTATAAAAGTCTAAAGAAACCCATGACAATAGCTTTTTATTTACCTTTGCATTCCTTATTGCCATCCTCTGCTTGGCTCTCCAATGTTTTAGTGGAAAACGGTGAAGAAACTGGTTTATTCTGGGAAATATCTTTGCCAAATAAACCGGAGTTTCCAGGGGAAAATGAAAATCCAGTCAGTGGGCCAGAGTTTAATGAGCCCAAAACAGAGCTATCGATTTTCTTGCCAAAATTAAATGAGGCACTTGCTGCTCCTAGTGATGGGTCCGCTTTCTTCTCCGATACCACCTCCATCTTCTTTTCAGAAGAATCTTCAGTTTTGTTGCCATGAAACAAAAATGCTGACTCTTGCTGCAATTTTGTTGAACCAAATAGGGAAGGAGACTGTGTTTCAACCAACATTTTGTTAGTCTCACTTCCAGAACTGCTACTGCCACTGTTCACATGTTGCTGTTCAATATTCGCTAAGTACTTCTCATAGTCTTTAAAGATCGGCGTCAGGTCACAGAGTGGGTTTGTATTCACGTGCTTCACTATCCAGTCTCGGACAGAGCAGTTCAAGGCGGCCAGCTGCTTGTGATAGGCATTCCCAGCACAGGCTTTACTCACAGCAAGGCCAGAGGAGGAGGGCTGCTGGCTGTCGCCATTAGTTTTGGGATTTGAATTTTTTTTCTCGGCCAAGGTGTTAGGGCCATTTGTGGCAATAGAACCTATAGGAAATTAAATAATTTATTTAGAAATTGACATGATGAAACCATTTTTTAGGTGTTTATACCATGCTGTCTTCATGTTTTCTGCACCCTATTTTTGTGAAGGTTCAAGAAATATGTATTCAAGAATATCGAAGAACATATGATCAGTAAGAACATATGATCAGCTGGTCATCATAAAAATCATCAAACTTTATACAAGAACAGTATCTGTTAAACACTTCCACTAAGCCTTTCCACTTTGAAAATAACCTCTTTCTTCAAAAGGATGCCTAGTTCAAACAGAACTGTCAGGAATTTAGGTTAGCATAAAGCTTAATCCCTAAAGTGGTTGGAATGAACATGTACTATATAGTTAAAATAAAACCTTAACAAGAAGTGTTACTTTAAATCACACTGCCTAATGAAACTCAAACAGTACACAATTTTTTTTTTTTTTGGAGAGATTTTCACTGTAGGGCGCGTGCACTCGCCAGACAGACAGAGAGAGACATAGAGAAAGAAAGCGAGAATTCACCCCCCAGGGGGGATGGTCACACCGCAATCCCTTCTCCTCCATTCTCCTCTCGGGATCTTGGGCACGCACGCACACGTGCCCGGCGTGAGTTTTAAGCCACTGGGTCTGGGACACGAACCGCGGTCGACTACGTGGGAGTCCAGCGACATAGCCATTACGCTAACTGCTGGTTCCCAAACAGTACACACATTTAGAATAATCAACCAAGTACAATTCAGCCAGTCAGGATCACTTCTAAGATTTTAACCCATGATCTCAATTTGCTGCTAATCCCAAGAGTTTTTGATTAATTCCCTCCAAACGGGATTGGGCAATCAACACAGCCCGGGTACACACCTAGCCTAGGAGGCCCTGTGGTCAGGGGCAATGTCATTTGAGTCTCCGGTAGCCACTCTGGGGTGAGGCACACAGAAAGCCCTCGTGCATGTATAACAAATTCAACAGACAAGAAGACAAGCCTTCATAGAGGGTCCATGAAGATCTTCCTTTTCTCCTTTGACCCTCAGACTGGTTTACTCTGAGAAAATATCTTTGCCAAATAAACAGAAGTTTCTCTGCTAAATAAACTGAAGGTCAATTCTGAGGGTCATCCTTTTACAGTACAGTTGAAGGTCCTGAGGCTCAAAAGTGAAGGAACTTACTAAGGTCACTGAGCTGGGACCTGGAGAGCCAAGAACAAAACCTAGCCTGTTTTGGCTCAAGGCCTGTGCTCTGCCCACTTCTGCTCACAGCATCTCCCTAAGATCCCTCCTCCATTACTGCCCTACTGCTGCTCACACGGTCCGAGGTAAGCGCAAAGAAAACATCTTTGCAATTTTTTTTTTTCATAAAACATGGCCGGGGTGAGGGAAATCTACTTACCGAAGGTTGTCTTGGGCTCAGTGGCTGCCCTCGCACTGGTGAAGAGAGGTGTTCTGGTTATGCTGCTTCCATTTGAAAGTCCTTCCAGAGGCTTCCCTCCTGTGCCACTACCAAATCCAGAAAACCCTCCTCCTCCAGAAGGTGCAACCAAGCCTTTAAATCCTTTAAAAGCTCCTCCACTATCAGACTGAAATATAAAGAGCAAGCACATATTAGCTAAGTATCCTTTTATCACCAAATAAGCAAGTGAGTGACCTAAGCATTATCTTGGCTAAAGCACCGAACTCCACATGTAATTAGCACTGAGAGGAAAACCACCAGCACAAGCATAGAGGATAAAGTAAAAAGGCCTTGCTCATAAGATCGACTTTGCAAACTAAAGCTCCTTCCTGAAATAGCCAGGAGAGTGGCAGTTTATGGTGAATTACATCTTTAAAAGGAAACAAGGACTACTGCAAAAAAATGCATGGACCCACCCAGCCTCGGAATAACTGAAAACATTCTCAACGCAATTAAATTCCAAATGAAAGAGTTCTCACGCACTACTCAAAGATCATTAGCCTAAGTTAGTTGCAGAAACTTCAAGTTGAATTAACTAAAAACATTTTGTCCATTTACCCAATTTCCTAAGAACTTCTGCAGCTTTCAACCTACAGAAACTTGAGCCAATGATCAAATCTCAAAACTAGACTCTGCTGGTTGAGTAGTCTAGGGCAACTTTTTATTCTATTTCCTAAGCTTGACTTCTTTAGCATGGTCTTTTTCTTTTCTATTTTCTTTCATTTTTTTTTTTAAACTGCACGTGAAGGGTAGGAGGAAAAAGTAGCCTCCAATGGGGTGTGTCCGTGCCAGAATCCCTTCTCCATTTCTCCATCCCATCAGGATTCTGGGCATATAGTCATACCCAGCATGTTTTCAGGCTGCCAGGCCAGGATCTGAACTGTGGATGGCCATGAGGAATCTGGCTCCCTCAACCACTGTCACAGGCCAGCCTTAGCAAAGTCTTGTGGGTAGGCATTTTTTCTCCCCTAGAGATTGTTGCTAGAGGGTGCATGTGCTTGTGGGAGAGATAGACAGAAAGTGAGAAATCACCCTCTGGTGGGATGGCCACATCACAATCCCTTTTCCATTCTCCTCTTGGGATTTTGGGCACATATGCACACACGTCCAGCATGAGTTTTAAGCCACTGGGTCTGGGACTTGAAAACTTCAGGCAGGGGACCAGTAGTTAGCGTAATGGCTATGTCGCTGGAGTCCCACGTAGTTGACTGCAGTTCGCGTCCCGGACCCAGTGGCTTGTAACTCATACTAGGCACGTGTGCGTGTGTGCCCAAGATCCCGAGGGGAGAGTGGAGGAGAAGGGATTGTGGCATGGCCATCCCCCCCTCGGGGGTGATTTCTCGTTTTATGTCTCTCTGTCTGTCTGTCTGGTGAGTGCATGCGCCCTATGGCAAAAACCTCTCCAAAAAACCAAAACCAAACCAAAACCAAAACCAAACAACTTCAGGCAACTACGTGGGAACGTAGAGATGTAAACATTACTCCATCTGCTGGTCCCATTGGGTAGGCCTTTTACTGTTGGGTTAATTTGCTTATTACACCTCAAACTCAGATACTCTGAAAATATTTGAAATTCCAAACCTGTTCTCTTTCCTGGGAACTTCTGGAGGAAGACCCTTGGTTAGGTTTACAACCTAAATTTAGCTTTGCTAAATAAGCTCAGAACAAATTTCATGATCTTTTTTCATTCAAAATAGTTATTACACCACAGAGGGTGATTCGTACAAATAAATCTCAAGTTTTCCCATCAGTGAACTGTAACCATGATATCACCTAAAAATGACTGAAACTGGAATCTCTTTTTTTCATAAATGGGTAAGTCAGTCTAAAGATTACTGGGTATTTTCCCTGAAATATAAACACATCAATTGCATCTACAGAATTTCAAATGTTTATTGACCACTGATACATTTATAGCAATATAATTAGGCAAGGAATGCAAAAATGGTAATTTGTATGAATTTTAACTTGTGTAATAAATACAGCTAGATTCTGATGCTCTAATCATTTGAAATCCAAAATATGCTAACCTACAAGTTATCATTTTAAAACAATGTTTCACAGACTAGCTATAATGTTGCAAGTGATTCTTCAGAACCTTTTATTTTAAAGCCACTTTTAAATCTTACAGCGATTATGGAAATTACTCACAGCATTATAAATTGGCTCTAGAATCATCACAAAAATTCAAGAACCATTAGTTTCAAAAAAGGGGGGACCAACAGATGGCTAAATGGTTACATTGCTGGACTCCCATGTGGTCAACTCTGGCTCAAGTCCTGAACCCGGAGCCCGAACTCACTCTGGGTGCATGTACACATGCATGCCCAAAATCCTAAGAGGAGAAAGGAGGACAAGGGACTGTGGTGTAGCCATACCCCCAGGGGGCGACTTATTGCTGTCTGTCTCCAGCGAGCGCATGTGCCCTATAGCAAAAAATCTAAAAACCAAAAAAATATAGGCATTCAGAAAAATGACTGCAAGAGTTGCACAAGATACCCACTCAGTCTCCATGGGCACTGAGACATGCTCTAACCCCCTAGTGCCCTCACTTGTGTTCTTCTCTGTGGTATTCCAGAAGAAAAGCTACAATGTATTTGTTTTTCCTTCCATCATTGAGTTCTCCAAGGCAGGGACATATAGGTCTGTTTTACTCACCTATGTATCCCCAGTACCTATCTGTTGAGTAAATAAAGAAACCACTATTTGAAAAAAGCCATGCTCCAGCGCTTATGTGGATGATACGGCATTTAATTTTCCTGATCAACAAGTTCTGATAAAAGCACAAGGCTAAAAGTTATAGCTAAAATTATATGTGGATTTTGATTATCCATGTATATTTCATTTCCCTGAATCATTCAAGGGGTCCAGCCCTCTTCCTTTAGCTAAGTTTTTTAGACAGCAGTCAATACTATTTCTACTCCTTGACCTTCATCCTGGACGAAAGGACCACTGGTCCTGGGGCCAGCCTTCTGCTCCAGAAGCCAGTCTTCACTTCTGCTCTGAGCTGCTGCTTTTCCTTCTGTCTACTCCATGACTTCAATCTGCGTGCTAAAAACTCTGAGAGCTACAAACATCCCTCACCCTAACTCCCTAATCTCTGTTCTGTACTTACTGTTCTTGTGAGAACTTCACTTAAATGTACATACGCCTTCCAAATGCTGCATCTCCAAAACTAGTAATATCTTCCTTAATTAAGTTGTCCCTTACCCCCTTGTACCTTCTTCAGGACAGAGCAAACGTCACTCAGCTCAACATCTACAACTACAAATCAGTTACCAGTCTTTATTTTTTTTGGTTTTCTTCATAGGGCACATGCACTCACCACAGACAAAGGGAAAGTGGAGAAATCACCCGCTGGGGGAATGACCATGCCACAATCCCTTCTTCTCCATTCTCCTCCTCGGACTCTGGGCAAGCACGCACACATGCCCAGAGTGATTTTCAAGACACTGGGTCAGGGACTCAAACTGTGGGAGGTCCAGCATCTCTACCACCACGTCACTTGCTGGCCCCTTCTTCCCTTCTTATACATTTTCAAATTAAAAAAAAAAAAGGAAATATTCTAATTCATTCTAGATTAAAAAAAAAAAATCCAGGGCCAGCAGGTGGCATGGTGGGTAAGGTGCTGTCTTCCACATGATGGACCACAGTTCAAGTCCTGGACCTGGCGGCTTGTTCCTCCCCCCTCTTTCTCTCTCTGAACAAGTTAAAAAATAGCAGTAATAAATTAAACAAAATAAAAGTTTTAAAAACATCCAACAATGCAAAACGTGTAGTTGAGCATGTTTATTCCAAACTGTGACCCACAATATTTGAAGTGGCTTCTCTTGCCTGATACCGATATCCAGGCAGCCACACCAGACTCACAAATCTGGACTCCACCGGAAGGGTGAAGAGTACATTGGGAAGTTTTTAAATGTGAGGTGACTGCCGAACACTAACCACTGCTATTCAATTCAAGTTACAACTCATCTTTTACAATCTGAACATTTTAATATACTACTTTACTAGAAAGAAAACTGGTAAGTGAAATACTTCTAGTACAGTGAAAGGACTCCCCCACCTACAGCTTGATTCCGACCAGCAGGCAAGACTTAGAACATACTGACAGTTCCCCTTCTTACTCCTGACACCCTCCTGCCTTCTGTATTGTTATAGTCGCTTTACCTTTTCATACTGCCACTCAATTTGAATTCCTCTGTTTATCTAATTTCCTCAATTAAATAGGTTTCCTGTAAGTTACAAACCTTTCATTTATTATTACTATTTTCCCCCCAAGATCATATCAGAGTAAGCATTTATTTCTTTTTTGATTCATGATAAAGTGTAATTATGAGGGGTTGGAGGAGAGGAAAGCACCCACCACAGAGCTTGGTCACACTGTGACCCCCTTTCTCCAGGTCAGATCCTGGGCACGTGCACCCAATGTGTTCTCAGGCTGACTGGACTGGAAACTCAAACTGTGGTTCACCCTTGGCTTCCAGCTCGTCTTAAATGCTACTGGCTGCACCAGAGGCTGGGCTGGAGCACCATTTAAAAAGCACTCACTGAGGCCAGCTACAGTAGTGACAGAACATTCTGCAATACCTGAGGCCATGTGGAGGGCTGGGACTGTTTTCTCAGGTAGACTACGTATGCGAGGCACCCGCATGCCTTGACTCTGGGTGGCTGGGAAAGGCCAGGGGAAAGGATCGTAGCATAAGACTCTGTTAAAAAAGTCGTTTATCTCCCTCTCATGAAAGGAAACAAAATAAACAGCAAAAACACAAATATTTGTTGATATGATTTGCCCCAGAGGTGGAAATACTCTGCAACTTGGAAATCAAATTAACACTTAGTACCAAAAGCTGGGGGGAAAAAGCACTCACTTCAAATCCAACATTCCTACGCTTTGCTTTTTTTATGGCTCTATTCTTCAAGACTTCCTCGCTGGCCACTGAGAATGTTCCCACCTGTAGGAATGCACAAGTTAAACAGCAGCTAAGGTAAGCTCAAAAGAGAGAGAAAAGGTTGAACAAAAAAGCTGAGACAAACTTATCTAATATTTGCCAGTTTAAAAATAATGTTAATACCTGTAACCCACAATTATGAAGAGGACTGTGAAGGAAAAGTCTAGGTCTATTATCTTTCTTGTAGATCCCAATCCTAATTAGGCAAATCATGAATATTCCAGAATATGCAAACCCAGGCTTCAAATCCCAATCTAGATAGTGGAGAGTATGCAAAAAAGTTTTAAAAAGACTAAGAGCATCACAATTTATATATTTATTTATTTAGAGAGATTTTTTTCTATAGGGCATAAGCACTTGCCAGAATCAAAGCAAGAAATCACCCCCAGGCGTGGTGGCCATGCCACAATCTCTTCTCTTTCATCCATCAGGATTTTGGGCACACATGCACGTGTGCCTGCTGAGTTTAAGCTGTCGAGTCTGGGACTCAAACTGGGGTTGACTATGTGAGAGTCCAGCGACGTAACCATTATGCTATTTGCTGATCATGACCATAACAATTTTAATGAGAGAATATTCATGACAAATTTTTAAAATATTTTGGATACATATTCTAATATACTATCCATTTCAATTTTTTTTTATAACCCGAGCTATTATCTAAAAGCTACAAGTTACCTTAAAGGTCGTGAGTCACTGACAGTGAAGTCGATTTGGAAATCCAGATGCCTGTATCTAGTCTTACTAGTTTTCAAAAATAAATTTTGTATTTATATTTATAACACACACACGACTTTTTAAAAGGTTTTTGCCATAGGGTGTATGTGCTTGCTGGAGAGAGACAGTGACAGGGAAACTGAAAAATCACCCCCTGGGGAGATGGGCATCTCACAACCCCTTCTCCTCCGCTCTTCTCCAGGGACTGTGGGCACGCAGGCACATGTGCCTGGCATGACTTTCCAAGCCCTGGATCAGGGGCCCAAACAATGGACCCCGTCAGCCATGTGGGAGCCCCGTACCTTACAATATGCCACCTGCTGGCCAGCCTCCGATATAACTTTTAAGAGTCTTGTCTAACTTGCCCATTGTCCAAAAGGCCATAGAAGCACCTGGGACTGACCTCATGAAAAACCTGTTCTTCCATAATATGCTAAAAATATTATGTTCACAATTAGAAATTTGTTGAAAATGTTTGCCTTGATATCAAACTTTCTTTAATCCTGTTGGGCTGGAATATAATATTTTCTGTACAAAAATTCTCATCTGTCATTATTCCAGACTGTGTAAATTTAGGGATCCCTAGACCAACAGAAAGGACCACTTGGTTTCACTTGCCTGTAATTACTTTAGTGGAAACCTCTTTACGCATTTCCTCAGAATTTGTGTAAAAAGAAATTCTTTCATTACTAAACATTTTAACATCACAGAAAATTGTTATACAGTAGTCTAGATCTTGCTATAGGCCAGACTGTCACTGTGTTTAAGACCTAGAGAAAAAATTCGTAACTCAAGACTTAGTTAAAAAGCACCAAATCAGTCAAAAGGTTCTGTCAACATTAGAATACTTGTGATTTTTGTTTCCTTTTTTGTAAAGGAAAAATAAATTAGCATTAGAAATATTCAGAAAGTACGAAACCACTCTAAGCTTAGAAAAACTTTGGCAGGTTCTTAATTTTTAATCATGATTTTTTACTTGCCATTAAATTAAAATGTGAACTTGGTTACACACTTCCTTGGTGAACTGGCCTGGGAGTATAAAACTGCTGATGAGGCACTAGAAATGCAGTTGTGTGCTCTTCTTTACAGGGGAAAAAGAAAAGTCCTCAAGGAAGACCATTTTTTGGGGGTCTCAGATCTACTATAAAAGAAAATAAAGCAGGCCTACAAGAAGCATTAGAATAAATAAGACTACCTCAATTTCCTGAAATCTAAAGTTACGGGTGGCAAACTGCAATGCTGACGATGTGCCCCTTTCGATGACTGAGCGCTGGCACAGTGCCCAGCTCATGACTAGGTCATGGGTCACCTCTACCTGCAGTCATGATTAAAATGATATACACAAGACCACAGGTTTAGAATGCTGTAAGCATGTAAAACTCAGGAGAAAGGTGCTTCTGCAAAGGAGACAATTTAAGAAACAGGAACATTGGGAAAAGCATAAACAAATGTAATTAATGCATTTCTACACTAAGTACAGGGCATAAGGAACCATATCTCTTATTCATAAAGTTCTTAAAAAGGACTTAGAATTCTATCACAAGTTTTATGAAGAATCCCAAAATGGCTTCCTTTTGGCTGGAACCGCCATCTTCCAGTAATTAACCAAAATGACATACACACAGGGA